TTTACTCCATTGAGCACGAGTCAGTTCCTAGATCTTTATGTTCTCCTCCGTCATAGTATGGACAAGTTCTATAACCTCAGCGGTTTACTCCATTGAGCACGAGACAGTTCCTAGATCTTAATGAAGATGTTTCCCTACGTCATAGTGTGGACAAGTTCTATAACCTCAGCGGTTTACTCCATTGAGCACGAGACAGTTCCTAGATCTTGATGAAGATGTTTCCCTACGTTATAGTGTGGACGAGTACTATAACCTCAACGGTATACTCCATTGAGCACGAGTCAGTTCCTAGATCTTGATGTTTTCCTCCGTCATAGTATGGACAAGTTCTATAACCTCAACGGTATACTCCCGGTGGGCACGAGACAGTTCCTAGATCTTGATGAAGATGTTTCCCCCCAATTGAATTATGGACAGATTCCTAAAACTCAGCTGAAGCATTCTCTCAGTTGAAGTACAGGCAGGTTTCTAAATCTCAACGAAGTTAGACTTCCCTAGTGGAATCTTCTACAACAACAGGTATGCAAGTTCTCGCTAAGGAATCTCTTATGCGACCGACACTCCTGCAGATGGCATCTATAAGCCCATCCTCATACCAACAATCTCCAAATGGCATCTGTAAGCCCATTCTTGACATCACAATGCTGATACTTCACCATGCGAGTGCAAATTTCTGGGCACTGTAGTGTTCAATCATCTTCCACCTTCGGATCACGAAAGGCACGCAAGCCAATCTACATCTTCAGGTTTAAGAAGATTGAACATGGGCAACTGTTGTACCCCAAAATTTGCCCTCTCATGTTTCCCAAAGTCTTCCCCCTGCATGGTTGATCACAAACTCTTGCCTAAAGAAAAGGAAAATTTTTGAGTGGTGCTTTAAGCACATTTCGATTGGCATTCTGAAAGACCCTTCGATTGGTGTTCTGAAGGAGCCTTTCGATTGGCATTCTGTCAAGCTCTTCGATTGGCATTATGGACAAACATTTCGATTGGCATTATGTCAAGGCTTTCGATTGGCATTCTGAAAGACCCTTCGATTGGTATTCTGAAGGAGCATTTCGATTGGCATTATGGACAAGTACTTCTATTGGCATTATAACAGTGTCCTTCGATTGGAATTCCAAAAAGGTCCATTCGAAGAAGCATTCAAAGGGTCCATTCGAAGAAGCTTTGGAAAGCATTTGAAGGAGGCCATCAGCCCATTCGAAAGGGAGCATTCGAAGGAGGTCATCAGCCCATTCGAAAGGGAGCATTCGAAGGCCAGTTACATATCATTCAAAATTCAAAAAGGGACAAGATCCCATGTGTTTAGCCAACGTTACAAACTCTCATTCATGGCTTTCAAACACATAATCAACGTTACAAATTCTCATTCATGGTTGTCAAACACATAATCAAAGTCATTTAAACCTTTGTCTTCCTGTCCCCTCCACCCCCTCTATATAAAGAAATCACAAATGTTGCAAAAACACACAAAAATATACAGAAAAATAGAGAACTTGGAGATACGCTGCCAAAAGTCATCAGCACTTCCAGGAAGCCATACCCAATCCTTGCACAAGCCAAAGTTGCCACCCAACGAACACCTCCACCCTCTGAACTACAGATCGAAGCACCTCTGTTTGGTAAAAAAAAATCTAATCTCAAACTCATATTTAAATTCATTTTGATTGCATATTCATATTATTACTGCTGTTTGTGAATGATTTAATGTGCTACATATAAGCTACAACGCAAAGATGAGATTGTGCCATTGCTTGGGCACAATCTGAGTTTCTCCTTCGAATCCCAGGATAAAACAAACCCAGACCCAGATTCAGCAGGTGCGAATAAAGGGGGAGATTTGAACCAGGGGGGTAAAATCCCCCCTGGACCTTTAACATGTGTTTCGTTTTTGCAGGAAATATATTCTTAGGATCCTGTTCAGAGTTTCGAAGCTCAGCAACTTAGCTTCGAACTGGACCCAGGATTTCTAGATCGAAGCATGACATGTCTAGATCGAATACCCTCAGAGTGCAGCCCCTCATGCACCTTCGATCAGGACTCTTCACTGGGTCGAAAGACAACCTGCACCTCTTTCGACCCAGACCTCCAGAATTATATTTTTTCTTGTTTTGCTGCCTGGCCCATTTGTACTTTGTTTTTGCTTATTTCTTTTAGTTTATTTTTTTAATCAACATAAAAATCATAAAAATAAATAACTTAGAATTAGGATTTAATTTAGTTAATTATTTTAACTTATTTTCTTCAATTTTAAAATCAGTAGACTTAGGATTTATTTGAATTCAATCCTTTTCATAAACACAAAAATGTAAAAAAATATTAGGTATGTTTTAGAGTTAATTTTAATCATTTTTTTTAATTAATTAAATTTGACTTAATTGAACACTTAGCATTTTCCCAAAAATAAAATAAAACAACAAAAAGATCATATGCTTAGGATTTTTAAGATTCACGCGCATTTATTTTATTGTAACTGCTTATTATTCCCCCAATTTTGGACATGTAAATAATCCCCCTCCCCGAAGCCTTGTAATAGCGTAGGATTTACAATTTCCGCACTTTAAATTCCTGTATATATATTAACTGCTTAGATGTATGCTAACTAGAATTGTATGACAAGATCTAAAAACAAATGGTAGAACACCTAAAGATACAAAGATGATATAAATTGAAAATTGACACACTTGCACATGCCACTCCTAGGGTACACCTCACCTGGTTGCCTCAAATGTGGTCATTAAGTATAGGATGTTTTAGAGGTCGTCCTTCTGTCCAAAGATCAAAGTTGCCCCAAAATGGTTGCCTCGATAAAAATGATCTAAGACATTAGGGTTACCACTAAGGCGTCCTAACATTGCTTTAGTGACCACACGTCCCATGAATCGAATTGACCCGAAAACTCCAACGACGATGCTACCTACTCCTCAATAGTGGGATAACATTGTCTAAAGGACATTAGCACAATTTAATTCCTTTTTGAGTAGGTAGAGGTTCTTAAGTACTTGCTCCTTTAAAAAAAAAACAAAACTTATCGCACTTACACTTTCTTCAAAAACAAAACAAAACTCTTTTCAAAACCCACAAACACAAAGAAAAAGAAAACTTTTGAAAACATAGTGAGCAAGTACCTAAGAGCCCGTGGATAACCACAGATAGAAAGGGTGCTAATACCTTCCCTTTCTATAATCTACCTCCCGAACCCGAGAAAAATCTCGAAAAGGAATTTTTATGTGCTTTTGTCCTTTCCTTGTTGGATAAAATAAAAGACGGTGGCGACTCTTGCTTACCGCGACATTTTGCGAAAACAAACGCAAACGCGAACCAGCATTTCAAACAGTCAGTTCTCGTTCCCACCGATCACAGTTATCATCAAAACTCTAACTGAGGGTTGTAGAATCAAACTATGTTCTAACACTATTGTCTTCGGCTCCGAAGGGATATGGTCGTTCTTGTAGAAGAGGTTTTCAGAGGTATTGGTCTATAGCACATTTTCGTCGACCTCTTACTTTTTACCATTCTAGGCTAACTCATCTATCTTTTGAGGAGGTGTAAATGAAGGAGGATCTATGCACCTAGTATCAGGGGCTTGGTTATGAAGAAGGATTTGGTCCTAGCGAAGTACTCTCTTTTCAACAAAAGAAGATGTGATTAGATACTTATGTGATTGTTAGTGCACTTGATCATTCCGAGATACAAAAACTCTTTGGTGAGGATGAGGATCCTGGGTGCTTTTTTACAGTGTTACTTGTGCCTTGTAAATAATATGGATCAGTTGCATAAGGATCTCGCACTCTCAAAGGTGGCCAAATATCAGTGACTCATATTGTTGCTTCTACTTCTGCTTCAGGGGTCTGGATATCGGCTATAGTAGTTATCCCAACGGTAGTTGTAGAAACTACCTCGGGAATGACCCATGAGGTGGAATAATTGGCTATTGCAGCGAGTGGCTTTTCTATTCATGAGCTCTCGTCGTCCCCATCTCTTGCCAAGAGAAGTCAAGGTGATAGCCCGTCGACTCCAGTTAAAGAAAGTTCTTCTAAACGGTATCACTTGTTACAGGATGTTGAGCATAATGCTCTTAGTCCTTTCTTTCAGCTTTCTGTCATTCTTCCACCTCGGGTACCAAGCATCCCGAAGGAAATTGCAATTGTCATGGCTAATAAGGACTTGGCTTTTGTCCGAAGCTTATCTATCTGTAACTGATAGGCGAGGTCTTTTTGCGCATGCTTCTCGTACCTTGTTTAGAGTCGGGTCCCTGATGTCATACCCTGATTTTTCTCCAGGGTCATTCATTCATCGCATCTGCATCGTTAGTCGGTCATTCATGCATTTAGGTTGACCAAAAGTAAATTTAAATCAACATTTGCATCATTTTCGAGTTAAAAAATACTTGTTATCTCACTTAATGCATTATCATCTCTTTACCCGCTTCATGCATTGCATCAAGTTGATTATATTTCGATAATATTGATATTTCGATTATACAAGAAGATTGTTAAAAGCGATTCAACACTGTGCAGAAAATTAGCAGAAAAAATATTTCGAGTTTTCATTATTAGCTAATTGTTTTATGAATCTGCGTTGCACGTAGATCATGTCGGTATGCTCACTTTATTTTTTCGGTACAATTTACCATCTCTTTCTTAATCGTCAGCGTTTGTTCAGCCGGGTATTATTATTCTCTTTTTTATTTCGATTTTGATTTTTCTTCCGTATTTTTATTAACCTTTGTGATATGTAATTTATTTTAATGCATTAATTTCTTTTCTTGATTAATTAAATATCTTTTTTTAATCGTTTTTGATTATTTCTGATTTTTTTTTATTCAGACAAAAATTAAAACAAAAATATTTTTACATATATTTATTTTTATTCTTTTAGATTTTTAAGTCAATTTTATCTAAAAGGGCATTATTACCAATTAAAAAAAATAGAAAACCTAGGTTTTGGTTATTTAAAGCTTGAGATAGAGTTTGTAACGAGAGAGGGAGATTTGCATGAGAACAAAAACCAAAACGCAGAAAGAAACTCTTCCTCTCCATTTGGCTCTCACGAACCAGCAAACCCATTTTCCTCTTCATATTCCTCTTCGTCAATCTTCCGACCTTCTCACTCTTTCCGCTCCACCTACTGCACACACAAACACCACCACTTTCGAACTCCCTCCGCCACAACATACTTCATCATCACCGAGCATCACCACCACAACCGTATACCTTCTTTTCCCACTGCCACCGAGCTCAACGCAGAGACCCATCGTCCCTGCTCATCTCTTCCTCTCAGACCAACCATCCCGCGAGCTGCCATCACCACTCCAACGTTCAGCTCCTCTCCGTCCAACCAAACTCCTTCAACATCACTTTTCTTCATTTTTTGGGGTAAGGTTTCTTACTATTTGATATTGCTATCTTGTTAGCTTTAGCATTAGTACATGAGTGTTTGATAATATGGCGTTTAGGTGAATGAAATTGATGAAGATAATATGTTATAGGTAGTAAATTAATATTTGAAAATTGGATGTTGTTGTTGTTTGAAAGATTGAAAATGATGGAAATGACATTGTTTGTGAGCTTTATGTTGAATGGATAATGTTATTGTTGTTGGTTCATTGTTGAATTTAAGGTTAATTGTTGTTGAAGATTGGTAATGAATTGTTGAAATTAATGGTGATAATGTGAGTGAGAATTTGTGACATTATTGTTGTTTTGTATGTTTTTTCATGTTAGTGGTGATGAATTGAATGATGAATTGGTGATATTGTTGTTTGTTTAGATAGAACTTAGTATGGTTGTGATGAATGGAAAGATAATTTGTGAGGAATTTTGGGTGTTGATTTCATTTGGTTTCATTGAATTTGGGTGAGTTTTGAGGGTATTTATGTGAGCTCTGAGTCATTTTTAATGACATTTTTTAGTATTTGTATAGACTTTGTGTTGTATTTTAAAATTTGTTCTCTCATTTTTTCTTCAAGACATTCTTCTAGGGTCCTCATTTGCTCAAGATGACTCAAGAGTTGGTTAGACAAATGCTCTTCTTAAACAATGAGTCTACAACTAGGGTTTTGAGTTTCTAAAAGAATATTGGGTTTCAAAGGTCTTAAGTGGTTTCCATGATTCTTCATATGTTTTCAAGGATGCTCATATCAAGTTTCAAGCCTTGCATCACAAGTTTGCTCAATCAATGGCTCTAATGATTGAAAATCTACTGTATTGGGTAAAAAGTCAACCATGGTCATCATACAGTCAAACTTCAATCTTTTTTATCAACATCAATATTTTGAAGTGATATTCATCATTTCATCAAGGGTTGATCATGATTCCTCAAGAGAAGCCCTCAAATCATCAAAAGTCCAAAGTTGCTAAATTAGGGTTTCCTTAAGAGAAGTCAACTGAACTTTGACCAAGCATAACTTTCACATGCTTCATCAACTTTTTCTCAACCAAAACCCATTTTGAAGGAAATTCAATTCTCTACAATTTCGTATTTTTGCTCAAGTCTAAATGTTTCATTTGAGAAATATGAGCTCATACATTATAAGTCATTTCAAAAGTAAACAAAAAGACACTTTTTATCAAGACAACATACATCAAGATAAAGTCTCCAAATGCCAAAATGATAAAAAGAGAGATTGTAGAAGACATCTTGAGATTTTCAAAAAGTCCTAGATCTTCTTAAAAATATGAAAATTGAGAGAGTTATGACCATTGAAAATTAGGAAATTTTGGTAAAATACATGAAATGCAAAGTGAGCAAACTTGAAATTCTAGACTAATTGGCCTAACTTTTGATGTTCAAACATGTTCACAATGTGTTAGAAGACCTCTAAATCCTTTCATACATTTTTTATGATTTTTATTTCTTTTATTTGAATTTTTATTCATTTAAATGCAAGTAAATCAAATAAAATATAAAATCATTGGGTTAAGGCGCATGAGCTTTTGATTTAAATCACATGGAGGCCCAAGAACACATGACAAACATGGCAAAACCGTGAAAACATATTAAGAACAAGAATATTCAATTTTGAAATGTTTTTTTTACAATTTTGGAAAGATTTTAATGTGTTTTTTTGCAATGAATTGTGACATGATGGTAAAAGATTCTTGTCTTGTTCTTGTTCCATTTCATTCCTCTATAATACATGTAATACTCAAGTGCAAAGGACACAAAAGCTGCTAAAAAAAACAGTCCAAAATTTCCAAAATTCTCAAAATTAGGGCAAACTGTAAACTCTAGTTGCAGCCATGATCAAAACAAATAAGCATTTTCATTCACTTCCAAGAGAATTATAGGGTAAGTTTGGATCATTTGTAATGATCCAAAGAGCCTGAAATGAGTATACATGCTACACCGTTTTTCTTAATTTCTTGCAAATTCATTTTTCTGTTTTCATTTTGTTTTATTGCATACTACCATCACTAATGATCTTTTGAGGTACAACAATGCATGATATATTTTTGCTATTAGTTTCTAATCTTTGTGATTTATCATATAATGATCAAATCCCATTTTTCATACACCAAACGTACATGGTTCAGATGGCAAAGGATGAAGACTGTAAATAGAAGGGCGTGGGTTCAAACCCCGGCGTTTGCACCTTTCTTTTCTTTTTTTCAATACTTTTAAACCTTTTTCTATTTTTTTTTTATTTTGTCTAATTAATTTAATTTTTCTTTTTAATCATTTTCTTTAATCAATAAAATCACAAAAAAAAAAAATCAGAGCTAGACTTTTAATAGGTTAATTTAATTTCTAGATAATATTTTTCTTAATTAATTAGACATAGGTTTCTTTTATAATTAATTAAATCTTTAATTTAGGTGTAAAGTCTATTTATTTTATAACTCAAATCAAACCAAAAATACACAACAAAAAAATAATTTCTAACGTTTTAGATTTTAGGACTTTAAAACATTTTTTTTCTAATTTCTTTTATCTTTGCTATTTAAATTCTAGAAAACAAATGTATAAGTCACATGGATATTTTTGTAATAGTTGTAGTTTACTTTCTCACATTTTTTCATATTATGTAATTGCTCATGGGATGTAATAGTTTAGGATTTATTTTCCGCAATTTTACTTTCTGCACCTATATTATGCTTGCTTGTCTGTATATATTTAACTGTTAGTAATAGTCTTGTATGATAAGAATTAAAAACAAACGATAGCTAACCCTAATCAAAGATTAAAATTAACTGAAATTAAAGCACTTTTCACACATGCACCTCTAGGATGACTCCACTTGTTGCCTTCGGATAAAACAGTCATGTCCCTCGAACGTCAGACGCTTTAACAAAAGACTCTCGGTTAAAAAGATCATAGTACCTCGATGACCCTTCGATGTTGTCTTCGGTAAACGAACTTAATCCCTTACGACAAATTGCTAAAGCGCCCTACGAGTTGCCTTTATGACTGTACGATGACCCGTGCATGTCCCTCAAACATTCAATGATAGGGCTTCCTACTAACTAATGGTAGGATAGCACTATCTAAAAGAGGAGGAAAAGAACAAAAGACTTTTGAGTAGGTAGATAGTTCTTAATCGTTTGCTCGTGAACATTTTAAAATATTTTTTACACAATGACACTTTTTTCAATAAATATTTTCAAAATAAACATTTTGTATGCATTCTAAATGATGTGAGAATCATTACAAAATCGTCGCACTTAGGCATTTTTCAAAATATTTTCAAAACACACGAACATAAAGCATTTTCAAAAAGTGAGCTAGCGATTAAGAGCTCGTAGATAACTATGGATGAAAAGGGTGATAACACCTTCCTTTTTCATAACCTACCCCCCGAACTCAAAAATTCTCAAAGGTCTTTCTTGTTCTTTTCACTATTTCATTTATTGGATAAAAGAAAAGTCGGTGACGACTCTTTCTATCTGCAACATTTGCGATAAAACACAAAATCAAAAGTCAATTCTCCCACCGTATTACACCTTGAAATCAATTTGATTGAGAATTATTTTGTTTATGGTTCCGAGCTTATTTTCTCTTGTCTTGAACTTATTTTAAATGAGTTTTTTTAGCATTATTTTGTCATTGTTTCTTGCTGCCCGGACACTAATAAAATGATAAAAAAGACTCCTGTTTATTCTTGTATTCATGTGTTGAATTTTGATTAAATAATACATGAGTTTAATTCTTTTTGTTTTGGGTTAGTAATTGCAATGAATTAATTGAACTGTGATGTGTTTGAAGCTTCTTTTAAAATTCAAAAGTTCATGAATTCTTGGATGTAAATCATCCTTACCATCTACTTTGTTGATTCTCACAATTGAATAATGTGTAGTTTTGAACCATGTTCTTCACATTGCTATTTATTCAAGTATGTATGATTTTCTTTGGTTGAGAAACTTGGTTATTTACAAATGAAAAGCAAGCTTTATTTTGTTTATTACACCTTCTCTTGTGTTGCTAACTTTGTTTATGGTTTATGCAAGATTGCAAGATGGCTCAAGTGTTCACTTTCTCTTAGTACCATTTTGTTACTTTTAGTTAATTAATTAAATATCGATTTAATTAGTTGATTTTGTTATTAAAAATTAATTAGTTTGGCTAATTAATTTTTCTTAACCTAATTAATTAATTTAATCAACTCTTAATCAATTAATTAAACATTTACTTCATATTTTATTTATTCATTTAGCTCTAATACATGGTTCTAACTCATTCAAACTTAATTCTTACTTCACATGAGACCTTTGGGTTATGTTATCCTGGTTTTATCTATTTGTTTGGAGTTTCATCTGATGCATAGATTCTTATCCGATATTCTGAGGATCATTCGATGCTTTGAGCTTTACCTGACACTTTGGATTTATCTGATACACTTTCTGCTTGTGATTTATTTTCACTTGATTCTTGGTATACTCTTGGTTTATTATTTGCTTGTGACTTTAATCTAAAGGATGAGAATTTTGTGTTGACTTTATTATGTCAAGTGTTGGCTCCTTATTTGGTGAGACCTTTCTTACCTTAGAATTTACTTTATGCTTTAGGATAGTCTCTTCATCTTCTCTCATTCTTTAATTTTCAAAACCTTCTCTTTTTTTTTTAAAAAAAAATCTTCTTGTTTCCCTTTGTTGATTGCTTATGCTCACATGTACCTTTAAGAGTTTGATTCTATCTTGTTTAAGGTGTGAATTAAATAGACTTTAGGTTTTAAACCAAATATGATAAAATTAGGTAGAATTTCCTATATCCTAACTCTAGGACCATATTGCATGACAACATTAGGACTTGAGTTTCCCCTTTAGATTTTCTTTTCCCCTTTGAATTGTATTTAAAAAACTAAAACTTCTTTTCTTTATCAAATTTCAAAAAAAACACTTAGCAATAAAGGGGTGAACCATGTGTCATGAGCCTTAAGTATTGGGAGAGGTATGAGGTGGTGCATTCCTAACCTTGTGCTTCCTTTCAATCATAGTCTTTAATGTGGTTCAAATCACCAAATCCTTTTTCAAGCTAAAAAACATTCAACCTCATTCAAACCTTTTTATACTCTCGTGCACCTTTTCTCCTTTAAAATCTCTTTCAAGATTAGACATGAGTCATTTATAATCTAGATATCATTCCTGTATCCCATGGTTGTAAAGATATCGACTTTTCCATTTGAGTAATAGAGGTGTGTTCAAACCCTCCCTCATATTGGTGTGTTATCCATCTTTATTATACTTTGTGGGCGATTAGTCGAGTTTTCTCCTTAAAAACTAACGACTTGTCTCTTCATTTAAAATCAACCAACAAAAAAAACATTTTCTAGAAGAACTATAGTACTCTGATTCCCTATTACACGACGGGGATACGTAGGCACGAGGTTTCAAAATCGAGGCGAGCGCAATAATAAAAAAATTTATTTTTCTTTGTTAATAATTCATTCATACATTCCCTTAGCAAGTTTAAGCTTTAGATAACATAACTTTTGATTAGACCAAACATAGTGGATTCTGTTGCGTACAACATATGTTTAAGGTGATAATACATTCTCTTTGCATAACTGACCCGCGTACCTTGATCTCTATTTTATTTAGGGTTTTATTCGCTCTTTTCTCATTTTCCTTTAGAAACAATAAAGTGAGATGGAAAATTTTACTTTGTGAGTTAAGTTAACTAATGACTTAGTCTCAAATTTTTACTGCTACATGACACTAGGTCTCAATGGTAGCTGTTGGCCAGGATGATGTATTGGGCTATGGCGACTTTTCCAAGGAGCAGGATGAGCTAAAGGAAAAATGTGAGGCTCTTGAGTGTAGCAATTTTAAAGCTAAAAAGGAGTTGGCTGAACTATGGGAAAAGACCGAGTCTACCGAATCTTTGTAGGAAGAGGTGGACCGGTATAATGTTCCTTCTATTTTGGCTGCTCAAATAACGATGTTGAAGGCTTCTCTTGCTAAGGGAGAGAAACGTTGGAAGAAGGCTTCTGAATATGCGGAAGAAGCGTGCAGGACATTCAAAGTAAATTGGAAAGTTCTTCAGTAGAAAAAGGATGACTAAATCAGTGCTTTGAGAGGTCTCAAGGAGGAGGTGGTTGTAGCACAACAGAAATCTCTAGAATACCTTCAACAGGTTGTGGATGTCGTGTATAGGGTCCAAGATCAAATATTAGAGCAGGTGTGAGAATTTTATCCTGGCCTTTCTTTCAGTTCCGATTAGTTGGATTCTTTTATAGTGGTTACTAGAGAGGACGTTGGCGGTGTCCTGGGTGCTTCAGAGTCAAGCGCTGATGTTTGAGGGTCTCTTTGTTCCCCTTCTCTATGATTTTATTTGTTCCTGTCAAATTTGGTTGGGGTTTTCGAGCCTCGGTTTATAAACAACATTTGTTTTTATTTATATCTTTACCTTTCATATGCCAATGCTTTTTGGTTTGTATTTCACCCTTTTAAATCATTGTTTCCAATCGGCCGAGGTCTGGGGAGAGCTAGGGCTTGCTTCTGAGCCATGTAGTTTTCATAATTTGTTTGCTAATGATAGTAATAAATAGTATTTTACTTAAAATGTAAATAACCTCAAGTATTTCATGAGGTCATGTACGATTTCTTTGTTTGTGAGCATGTCATGTTAAGATGTACATGTTTGGGAAAGATGTCAAACTAGTCGAACATGTCTGTAATTGGAACGCACTTGCGTAAGCATAACATTGGTTCAATTTGACGTGCTCGTACGCTAGCTTCGTACTGATGTGGTATGAGTTTCTCTTTAAGAATTTATGTTTCAATTGCACCTGTAAGTATTTCGTGTGAAACGTGCTAGACGTGTATACCTTAATCATATTCATATGGGTAAGGCATGAATCTAGTTAAGTGTGGTTATGTTTTGAATTATAATTATAGATGAGGGACATGCAACTAACTAGATACGGCCATGCTTTTTTGAATAGTGCTCCGCGTCATAGAGGATCATTCCATGTCCAATAATTTAGGATTATCGTCCCTCTCCCCAAGGTGCTTGCTCGGATTAAGGTGGACGTATCCAGGCCCCACCTCTCATGTCCCTTAGATTGGCTAGACCCAAAGGAGTTGTGCTAGCTACATAAGATTATATGTAGTTCTTTGTTAGGAGGTATTTGTATGCTATATTCAGACATGCAAAGTGTCTCTAATAGCACTGCTAGGAAATTGGTTTCTATATTCGGAGGTGCAAAGCGTCTCCGATAGCTCCCCTAAATTATGAAGGCACACAAGATGGTGTGAGATTTGATTGTTGTAGTCAGACATGCAAAGCATCTCTGAAAGCATCCCTAGACTCTGAAGGCGCACTCGGTGCTGAGGGGTTTGATTGCTTTAGTCGGGCGTGCAAAGTGTCGTTGTCACGTCACAAAAAATATAGAGTCGCCACCGAACTTTATTTATTCCAAAGGAAAGGGAAAATATTGAGAAAGCCCCTAAAAGTAAAAGAAAATTATCATCACAAACATATTCATTTTCAGGATTCGATTATGCAAGGGAAATGTATTAGCATCCCTCACATTTGTGGTGATGACTTCCTTTGATGTAAGTGTAGGATCCTTCTTAATGGCTTCTATAATCTTTGTCTTCTTGAGGTTCTTGGTGTTGAGAGGCTTTCCGACACAAGGTTCCAGAACACTAGCTTGTTGAGCTTCACTCAGATGTTCTACCAGCTTATTCTGTGTCAGAACATCTGAGATCAGCCTTCCCAGCGGAATCCAATCTCTTTTGGTTCTTTCTTCTTCTCTTGTTTCCTTGACACTAGTCTTTAGATGATTGAATAAAATATGAGGGAGGTGGACTTTGGCCTTGGTTACGATGAAGTACATCAGGTATTGTTAATCAATGTTGAAGTAGTTTGAAGAACTTGTTGGTTTTCTGTGGTTCATACATCCCAGAATCATTCTAGACCAAATTCTGAGATAGTCTTTCAGATCTTTGATCTTGTTGGAGGGTTGTCCAGAAGTGAAGATTTCTTTGGATACAATGGTTAGGTCAAAACCTTTTTCTTCCATTTCACTACATATGATGCCGCTTTCATCATGACCAATGGGCTTTTCAATGAGATCTTCGGTGATGACAATCTTCTTTCCCATTACATACGAAGTTACTTGATGATTTGATGTAGTAGCATGAATTCAGAATTCTTTAACCAGTTTGGGAAAAATTATACCAATTAACCGATCAAAGTATTTTGTCCATCCTTGAAACTCAACATCAGGAGTAAGATCATGCTCATTTTCTTTCATGATTTCAAAATCAACTATAAGTTCAGAGAGAACTTCAAGAGTATCAAACAAAGTGAGGAGAGATCTTGTAGGTTCAACATATCTTCCTTCGTTTGGAGTAGAGGATGAACCAAGGATGTTGATTTGAGGAGAGGGATCTTGATATTTTGTTGTTGTTGAGAAGAATAATCCATTGTTCACAAACTTAGGGTTTTAGAGCACACAAAAGGGAAAAAAGTACAAGTTCAGAGAAAACAGGGTGAGTGAGAGTGAAGGTGTGAAAGTGATTTATGGTGAAAGTGAGGTATAAATAGCCAATAGAGAGAAAACATGAAATTAATTGCAATTAATAAAATAACCAAAATGATTAACAACATTAATGATTTATGACAAGGGGATGGCGTGAAGATTTTGTAAATAGTTATCAATGTGACTCGTGCCTCAATGCATCAACTCAAACGTTTCAACCCTTTAGATTTTGAACATGTGTTCAGCCTCACAGAGTGACTTAGCGTTTAGGTTTGACAAATGTTGATGTGGTGAACTGCTTATATCTTTCAAATGAAGCATTTTTAGAAAATGTTCAGATCTTTTGGATAGTTTCTGAGACAATTTTCCTTTTCACTTCTGAAGAACTATTGTTCAGATGTCCACAAAAACAAATCAAAAAATTATGAGGATTAAATATACAAAAATTGCATTTTCATTATGGGCATAATTCCATACTGAGGTGTTTCATAATGAAATTAAATCTATCTTCAGCAAGGGATTTTGTGAAAACATCAGCTAATTGATGGTCTATGTCTATAAATTTTAAACAAAGAATTCCCTTCTGAGTATAGTCCCTAATGAAATGATGTTTAATTTCTATATGTTTAGCCCTAGAAAGTAAAATAGGATTTTTAGAAAGACAGATAGCAGAAGTATTATCACAGAGGATATGGATGTTACTCTCATAAATATGAAAATCTTCAAGCTGACTTTTCATCCAAAACATCAGAGCTCTGCATCTGGCTGCAGCTATATATTGAGCTTCAACAGTTGATAGTGCAATAGTGGATTGTCTTTTGCTAGACAATAAGATTAAGTTATCTCCCAGAAACTGGAAGCTTCCAGAAGTACTTTTTCTTTCTATTTTATCTCTATCAAAGTCATCATCACAGTACCCTACTAATTTATATTCTATGGATTTTCTATAACAAAGACCGAGCTTAGTAGTACCTTTTAAATACTTAAAAATTCGCTTAACTGCTGCTAAGTGAGATTCTCTAGGATCTGATTATAATCTGGCACAAAGACAAACACTATATAGAATATCAGGTCTTGAAGTTGTTAAATATAAGAGAGAACTAATCATACATCTGTATAACTTTTATTCTACTTTCTTACTTAACTCTTCCTTTTCCAGAGTGCATGTGGGATGCATAGGAGTTTTGGATGGCTTACTTTCTGACTTATCAAATTTCTTCAGAAGTTCTTTAACATACTTGCTTTGATATATGTAGGTTCCTTCTGGAGTTTGATCGATTTAAATTCCCAGAAAGAACTTGAGTTCACCCATCAAGCTCATTTTAAATTCTGCTTGCACAGTCTTAGCAAATTATTTTCCCAAGGAGGCTTTAGTAGATCCAGAAAATTATATCATCTAAGTATATTTGACAAATCCGAATGTCATTTTTAAATCATTTACAGAATAGAGTTGTGTCCACCTTTCCTTTGGTTAAATCATTTACTAAGAGAAAGTCACTTAGTCTTTCATACAAGCTCTAGGAGCTTGTTTCAGACCATATAACGATTTCTTAAGTTTATAAACATATTCTGGATGTTTTGTATTTTCAAAACTAAGGGGTTGGTGCACATAAATTTCTTTATCAATGTAACCATTTAAAAAGGAAATTTTGACATCTATCTGATAAAGAGTGATGTCATTATTTACAACAAATGAAATTAAAAGTCTGATAGATTCTAACCTGGCGACTGGAGCAAAGATTTCTGTATAGTCTATCCTTTCTTGCTGACTATAACCTTGTGCAACTAGTCGTGCCTTGTTTCTGACAGCTTCTCCTTGTTTACTTAGCTTGTTTCTGAAGACCCATTTAGTTCCAATGATGTTGAAGCCTTTTGGTTTAGGAACTAGATCCCATACACCGTTTCTAGTAAATTGATTTAGTTCTTCCTGCATTGCAAGTATCCAACCATTGTCTAGAAGTGCTTCGTCTATGGAAGTAGGTTCGATCATAGACACTAATCCCATGAGAGACTCTTCAATATTTCTGAATGTAGATCTTGTTCTGATTGAATCATCTTTCTTTCCCAGAATCATCTTTTCAGGATGTGCTAAGCTGCTCTTGGATTATCTTTTCTGGATGGCTTCTTTAGAAGTTGTTGTAATATTTGTTATGTCTGCTTCTATATTTGGATGAAGTTCTAAACTTTTATTTTCTAAAGATCTGTCTTCAGTACCTATAATGGGAACTTCTATATTTGCAAAAGATTCACCCTGCTTTGACTTTTGAGAGCCAAGCTTATCATCAAATCTAACACTAATAGATTCTTCCATTATTCGCGCGTGTGTTTTATATACTCTATAACCTTTTGAACATTCACAGTATCCTAACATGAAACACTTTTGTGTCTTAGAGTCAAA